ATGTAAACAAAGCGTGACAACCCTGTGAGTACCTCTATGTACCTCCGTGATAAGCATGTGAGGGTGTCTGTTAGTGAAGCTTTGCACGTGTGTGATACATGCTACCATGCATTATTCAGCACAAGAGGCAAGGGCTCAATGCACTTCAATATACATCGATATTTAATAAAATTGCCTGTTTATTATTCAAGTGCATGCATAATTATATTTTCGACCTGCATCGCTTTATTCTTCACTTGTTTATTTAAATACATTTAAACGAGATCGTAAAATAAGTTATGTAAATAGTGTTTTTCTAACTAAATGAGAAAATAAATTTAATAAAAGCATGCTGCTGCTTGAAGGCAAATGGTTGTTTGTTTTCGTAACTGCAGAAAAAGGAAATTATAAATTGAAAGCAGAAAAGTTCAAAGGAAGAACTTAGCAAATTTTTCTATTGAAAATTATTGTAGCTTTTAAATTTTTTAATTAAATTAGTATTATATTTCATCATTGAATCAAAGTTACTTCTAAAGTGTTGAACAGCTGGATAATTTTATAGCTAAGACCAAGGCAACTTTCATCGCGCTGTAATTAGAGTAGCAAGTCGTTAACTATTAGATCAAGCTAGTGTAATTAAAATTGGTTGCTTCCAGCAAGGGAACAAAGTTGATATATTAGAAGAAAGGCGGGAGTTGTAGGTGTGAAAGAAAAACTACTGAATATTAGGTAAATTGAAAAACAGTTGGCCTGACACATAGATGGCGTTAACATAAAAAAAAACCAAATTTTAATTAGCCCTAACCTTTAAAAGGCGCGCGTATAAATTTGACAGCTAACGAATCATTAGTTTGTGAATTATATCACGTTGAGTGAAGCCACTTTTGTTATTGTGGAAAAAATGAATAAAACGTAGTTTCGCCTGTTGATAAAATATTGCTCTTCAAAGGGAAAAAATACAGTTGAAACAAAAATTACGCTCGATGACAAGTTTTCGGATACTGGAGCAGGAAAATCAAGCATCAAGAATTGGTATGCTAAGTTTAGACCTGGCGAAATTAGCACCAAAGGCGGGGAACCCACTGGACGTGCAAAAAAATGTTTTTACCGACGAAAACATCAAAAAAGTCCACAAAATAATTTCGGAAGAGCGTAAAGTGAAGTTATTCGAAAGAGTAGACACTCTAAAGATATTAATTGACGCATTCATCATATCATTCACGAAGATGTGGGTATGAGAAAGCTCTGTGCAAAGGGGGACCGCGCTAGCTCACTTATGACCAAAAACAACGGCCAGTTGATGAATCCGAGCAGTGTTTAGATAAACACGAGGATTTGTGTTGATTTGTGACAACGGGTGAAACATGTCTCCATCATTTCACTCCGAAGTCCAATTGACAGTCATCTGAGTAGACTGCACACGATGAACTCGCTTCAAAGCATGGAAAAACGCAACCATCGGCTGGTAAGATAATAGAATAGACACGTCTTATATCCAAAAAATTCAATTATATGTTCTTTGTCGATCCATAAGCGATGTTGATAGAGGATATCATCTCTCTGATTCGAACAATGCGTATTTGATTTATATCATTTTACACTATTTCTTTAACTTTTTCGATGTTATCGACATTAATTTTCATGGAAGACTCGAATGAGGAAAGTTTTCGATGACTTAACGGACCCCAACCACACCTACTTCTCATATAACACAATTTAAAATTCCATTGGATTCTTTCACTTTCCAGTATACAAATCACGAAATAATTAATATAACGGGAAACAATTTCGCACTAATAATTCCTTTAAAGTTTGCCACCTTATGACCAAAAATTTTCCAAATCGAACCAAAACTGTTCAAGCCGAGGTTCCGAATATCTGGTCCTCAGTATCTATAGTTGACTTTTGGCCGAAAAATTTATGAGATATACTATTGAAATTCAAAAAGAATATTTTCCTGACAATAGTAATTCTGGTATCAAAAATGTTTTTAATCGGATTAATAATACTTCTCTGAGTCTTCATACACCTATTATAAAGATTTCCGAACCTTGTACTGCATCGGGAAATCTTTGAGTAATCTCAATGAAAACTACAGAACATGTTTTACTCATTATACTGTTACTTTGTTGCTAAAATAGATACAATTGGGTAAAATCTTGACCTAGCCCCCATATAACTAATATCAGTATTTTCGAACATCCGGCTGACTTTGCGCCATATGATTGGTGATTGTAGCTGAGCTACCTTAATAAAACCCAGGGGACATTTTTTAGTATATGGCATGATTATAGTTAATGGATAAGATCGATGCTATCCCAACTACCATATACTACATATGATGACCTCCGTTTTTCTTTCTTTATATATAAAAATCTTCTGACCGTGTGTTTGTAAATGAACTGCTCCTAAACGGCTGGACTGATTTTGATGAAATTTTTTTTTGTGTGTTCAAGGCGATTCGAAAATGGTTTAGATTCACAATTTCATCCACTGGCAAATGTTTTTTGCAACTAATTTTTTATTTTTTTTAATAGGAAATTTTGGAATGTTTTACATTGGATCCGATAGACTGCACTACCATCGCAATATCCAATATCCACACCTTAAAAAGCGACATCTGTAGACAAATAGCAAGTTTTCATAATGTGGAAAGGGTTGTTCGTTCTTAAGTAATAAATTGGGTACATCTATGGGTAGCCATTACATTTTTTTCACATCTGCTAACTATTGGAGGAACAAGAATGCATAACAAGCGCCGTCAAGGCTTTGCGTAGACTTTGTTAGATTATGGGCGAAGGGCGCAAATGCATTCGTAACAAAGCAAACGCGTTATCTGGAATAAAAATATAGCCGTATAAGTGAAGTTTTGATAAAAAGGTCTATTATAATTTGAGATATACAGAAATATTTTCGAAGCATTGCGCAGGTCAGTGCAATATTTAAACGGGAACGATGAGTATATGCGTACAATTTTAAATTGATCTTTCGTAAAAAATAATAAAATTGCTAAATATTGGGAATAGTGAAATAGAACTGCAACCAAATGCAGAGTGTAATGAATTAAAACTGGCTCAATAATCATTGGAGGAATAGTATACCACGGGCATTCCAAAAGACTGATGCCGTAACCTCGCCAGCCGATTTTTTGTCTTGCCACGCAAGAGAACCATTTCATAATATGCAGTCCATGAGGCTGACTGTCGACTCGACTCGATTGATTTCACTGGTGCACAGCCCAAATTCAATTTTCCGCCCGAAAACCAATGCTTTCTTAATGCACGAAATGCTTTTTGGTTAATTTTTTTGTGGACTAACACAAGTTGCTTCACCAAAAATACGATATCTCCTTAACTAATAGTTATAATCTAAATAATAGAAATCATATAGATGATATTAGTTTTACTATCTATGTATCAGGCACAGTAAAACGTGGACGGGTCCTCTAGTGTATATATAAAAATGCTTGGATGGCGATCCTCTTAAGGTTTTTCCGTGGCTTTGATTTCTGCAAGTTGCAAGAGTATATAATGTTCGTTTGCACCCGAACTTATTTAAATGGATCAGTCCGAGTGATCTACCTTCATTGATTAGTTCGAACACTGTTTTACTTTGCGTCGTTGTTGAGAAGTTGATGGTGATTTTACAAGAACGCTCATTTACAACTAAATAATACCTCTTATCCAATTAGTGTTGCAGCTTTGTTTTATAGTCCAAACTATGTTACGTTGATACACTATGCACATACACGTTTGAATATATTTATTAGTCAGTGATAAGTCTAAAATTATTGTCACAAGTATTTAAATGCTCGTTTCGAGTTCAATAAAAATAAGTGTATACTAAAATATTAATGTTTGTATATATACCAAAACTCAAAACCTTCTAATAGTCACTTGAAGTTTAACAAAAAACATCAGAAATGTTAACCAAAAATTTTTAAAGCATATATTCGTCAATTCTAGTATTTTATGTTTGCTTTTACGTTTCATGCATTTTTTTAACCAAATTTTTCAATGCAACCTAAGTTGTACACTGCAAGAACCCAAATATTTTTACGTTTTTGTTCAATTTGTAAAATAATTACATATTTACCATTATACGTTTGAGCATCAAGTTAAAAACTGTTTGATGTTGACACAAATATTTAATAATTATTTAAATGTATGAAATTCAATTTGTGCTCAATTCGCTTTGAAATCGCTTTCCCGCTAATATTTGCACATTTGTAAATGTATGTCGCCTGCGGCTCCATTTCATTTCGCTTTCATATTTCGTTCGCATAAATATTTTTCGCCTGAAGCATAGTTCATTTCAAAATTAAAAATATATACAAAATTCAAATATTGCTGTTTTTTCAAAAAATATTCAAAATAATATATAGTAAATTATGCTGAAATTGTATGTAAATTTTTTCTATGTGGTAATTGTGTTCTACTTTGGTTCTAAAAGGATTCTTTTATGTTTTTGTTTCGTTTTTTCTTGTTTTCTCAAAAACGAAAAAACGTGTATTTTTCCTGTAAAAATGCTAAATGCCAAACTACTACTACTACTACTGTACTACTACTCTCTATTTACCAATAAAATTAACTAAAAGTTTGCATACTGCACGGATATTGTAAGTCTCACTCGAAACCGTCATATATATTTACATATAATATATATATACATATATATATTAATGTATATTTATCTATATGATACTGTATTTATGTATGTATATGAAATATTTTTACTCTTTCCATCTACATACAAGTGAATTTTTTCTCTCTCTCTCTCTATCTTTCTAAATTTCGTAAAATTACATATGCGCCTTAGTATATGCCTGTCTCTTATACACATCTACTCTTTCCATCTACATACAAGTGAATTTTTTCTCTCTCTCTCTCTATCTTTCTAAATTTCGTAAAATTACATATGCGCCTTAGTATATGCTATATCAAAATTATTATACTTGCAACAGCTGCATTTAATACGAATTTCCGTTTTGCGCTACAATTGAATTTCATTCGAATTTGCAGACAATGTTCATCCAAAAATGCGATTCAGTCTCTCACCACCACCATCAACCAAGTCCGCTTCCGTCATAACATCGCCCACCAATATGCAGGCCAATTACGCACAAAGCAATTACAATGAACCACGTGCTTCCGGCGTTGGCGTCCGAAGTGACGATGATATCTCGCCCGCCAAAGCTACGCCAGCAGCAGCAGCGGTCGCTGCAGCGCCAGCTAAGCACGATGTAGACGATGAGGCGGCATCCGACTACAGTCAATGGTTGCATGCCATGAAGCTGGTGGCGCGCTTGCCCGGCGGCATGCCACCGGAATTTAGACGCAAGGTAAGCTATAATTGCATGCGATTGCGGGTCAGCCCACAGGGTCGGAAATATTTATGTAATTGTTTTTTAATTGATCACTTTTTTTTGCACGCTTTCACACTTACTCTTTGGCTGCCTAGTTGTGGCTATCGCTGGCAGATAAATATTTAAAATCGAAAAATGTAGACTGGGCCAAAGAGGAGGAGAAATGCTTCTGTGAGAAGTGGCGCGAAGATGACGAAGAGCTGGGCATACAAATTGTCAAGGTGAGTGATTCGGACACATGGAAACGAGTACGCTTTTAAAAATCAACCTTTGCAGGACTTGCACCGTACCGGCTCGAATCTGTGCACCGGTCCAGCCGGTTCGATCAATCAGGCCAAATTGAAGCGTATACTTTTGGGTTATGCGCGTTACAATCCGGAAGTCGGTTACTGTCAGGTAATTTCTATTAAGCAGCAAATTTCCTGACCCTTTTTCATACTACACCTCCACGCAGGGTTTCAATATGCTTGGCGCGCTGATATTGCAAGTCATGGAGAAGGAGGAAGCCGAATCCATGAAGGTGATGATCTATTTGGTTGAAGGCGTGTTGCCACCTGGCTACTTTCATGGTTCCATGGGTGGCTTGCAGGCCGATATGGCGGTATTTCGCGAACTGATGCAGACGAAATTGCCACGTCTGGCAAAACATTTGCAAAAGCTACAGGGTCCCAGTGAAAACGCCTTCGAGCCGCCGTTAACGAATGTCTTTACCATGCAATGGTTTCTAACGATGTTCTGCACCTGCTTGCCAATGAGCTGTGTGCTGCGTGTCTGGGATCTTGTACTCATCGAAGGTAGTGACGTGCTGCTACGTACAGCGTTGGTACTATGGAGCCTGTTAGAAGAGTGAGTAACTTCAAGAGAATAATTGCATCAGTGAGTATAGCAACGCTTCTCTTTATTACAGTCGCGTGCTGAGCACACGCACAGCCGATGACTTTTATGGCAAAATGGGTTCCTTCTCGAGCGAGTTGCTTAATGGACATCTAATTGATTCGAATGGTTTGATTGAGAAGGTGGTGCAGCTTGGTCCGATACCGGATATACAGAAATTGCGCGACAAACACCTATACAACATAACGCCGCTGCACCACAAGCAAGGATTACAGTAATTTCACATATTTTGTCTGGAAGACCTAGAGCACTAATGTATATGTTATTTCAGATTCTACTACGACGACGAGGAGCCCGGCTCGGATGAAGAATCACGTCTGGCTGTCGCCACTGTTTGGGGTATGCCTTGGGGTCGTCGCGGCTCACAAGGTCAAACTACTAATGCTACCAAGCAAGTAACCGAGAATAAAGAGCGTCTTGCTTTGGATATTTCACTGCTGAAGAAGCAATACGATCGTCTACGCGAGCGTCAACGTCAAGCACACATTATTTTAACCACCGCCTGTTCCACAGCCCGCCAGAGCGCTATCGCCACAACTTCCACACAATCCAACCAGTCGGTGACTATGAATCAATTACTTTTGGGTCGCCCTGCCATCGTCACAAACAAAGGTAGACGTCCTCCGCCAGGCGCTATACCACCCGCGCGTAAGCCATCTCTGCCTACAGTGCTGCACACAAGACCACCAGAGCGACAATTGCGTCGCGGGGAGACTTTACACTGGCGTGATGCCGATATAAGTAAACGGCGCAGAGATAGTCTAACATGGAAAGAGATTAAGGCGGATCGTGCTACACTGTTGCGTGACGGTGTAGACGCGATACCAAAGTCACAAAAACTTCGTTCGCGTATCGGTAAAAGCGACTCATCGTCGTACAGTGAAGAAAGTGAGGATGACGATGAAGAGGGCGGCTCGAGTACTGATACAAGCCTTTGCGATGAAGATGATCCCAATTCGGGCGCTGATAAAACACATTCCTCTTCAATAGAGAATAGTCCCAAACGCAGAGCGAAATCATCCCGTAAAGCCAAAGAACTCTCTACGAAGTTAGAAGCCTTAAATGAACCCAGTGATAGTGAGAAAGAACGTAAACGTCCTAAGTCTTGGGCACCTTCTTCAACTGAAATTCCTTTCATGCTTATGACATCAGATTCGCCGACATACAGTGGTGATGAGCAAAAAACCGCACGCTCACATCATTTTGAGGAATTAATAAAGGAGGAGGAAGACAGCTCGACGGAATGCGATCGCCTCGGTTATAAAGGTGCAACTGCATCAGTGGATTGGTCTGACACTAAGTTCTCATCTATCGCTGGCGATTTGGCTACCACAAAGCTGGGTGCATTACACATTCAAACAGATGTATTAGAGTTTCCTGTGATAACAAGCACAAGTCAGCTTTCTCCGATGCCAGATATAACTGAATATCTCAATGATTCCAATATAAGTCCGTTGCCAACACCGAAACCGCTCTTTCTCGACTCAACCAACTCCCTGGGTAGTGGGGATGATGGCGAGGAGGGTAAAAGATTTGCTGTCAGCGATGATGGTGTGACAAATCAGTATTTCGAACGTGTCAATAGTGTAGAGAGACCCACAAAGTTAGACTTGTTTTATTCGCTTAACGAAGAAGATGGCATACGTAGAGGTGATGAAGAAGTTACTGACCTAGTAGAGGTTGAGAAAATTAATAGAACGGTTGATAGAAACACAGACGTTGTCCGTGAAAAGAGAGTTGCGGAAGAAGGTATCAAAGAAAYAGAAGCCGCGGATGCGGACTCGCACAGACGCATGGAACTATTAATGGACTACTCTGAAAAATCGTCAGCAGCTTTCATAGCTGAGGCGACTACTGAACTATCCACAAGTTTAAGACAAGACACAAATAAGGATTCCCACGAAGCGGATGATTTTTGTAACAAAATTCAAGTCAAATTAGAAAGTGATGGTATATCTAGAGGCACAATTAGAGATGACAACATACCTGGCGAAGCTGTTGCACAATTTGAAGAACATTCTACAAAAGTTGGAGAACGCAAGGTTCACGAGGACAAGGTGAAAGCAGTAGGTCTTAAGAAATCAAATACACTGAGCAGCGCCTATAGGAAACGACGTGATCCCAGACGTATGACGTTAACACGCTCTGCAACTATCGAAATTGAGGAACGCTTTCAGGCGCTGGAACGCAGAATGAGTGAAGATAGTTTTCGAACAGACAAAGTGAAGAGTAACGGCGATATATTTGTTGAAGACAGCTCAAGAAAAATACCAACCACAGCTGAGTTGGAGAAAAGGTTGAGCACGCTGGATAATGAAATAAATATGGACGCGAAAGTGAAGAAAAGGTTTGCAGAATGTAGCGAAATTAGAGATTTGTCTAAACACAAATCCAAAGAACTAACGAACAGCCCTTTTACAGAATCAAAACCAGTAGAAGATTCAAGCAAAAGCTTGAATGAAAATTCCAAAATAGCAGATTTAGAAGTTAAGCCCCTCGATACCGACATTAACAAACGTATACCTGTGATTGTAAACTCTCACAAAACACCTGACGAGCCCAAACGAGCCAGTAATCACATACCTTCAACCACGGAACTGGAAGATCGCTATAATGCTTTGGAGAGACAGTTAAGCTCGAATGGTTTGCCAAGCAAAAGCTCAATGGATTTGCAACGAGATGATAAAGCAGATGGCAGTAAGGACATACCAACTCCACCCAATACGCCAACTGAAAGTAGGAAGCAACATTTAGAGAAAGGTGAGAGCCAAAAGAAACTTAAAAATGAAATTGAGGTAGATGCAGATTTGGACAAAGAACAGGAAACTAGGGAAACTGAAAAACCGCCGTTAAGAAAATTGCCGTCTACTGCCGAACTGGAAGACCGATTCAATGCGCTTGAACGAAGAATGAGCACACAGAAATCAAGTCCCCGCAAAACGAAAAAGGAGCCACCTGACGAAGCCGATGTTGAAGAAAGGAGGGACACAAAAAAGAAACCTATAGATGCAGATAGCGAAGTTGAAAGTGCAATTATAGAAAATCAAAAAAGTCCTAGTGAGGAAGGTATAGGAACAAACGAAGTTAAAGAAAACATACACACAGCCGAACAAGCTGAATTAGAGACGAAGAGGGGTACCAAAACTGAAGATGAAGGTGCAAAATCAAATGCACAGAGTGAAGAAGAAAATACACTTGAGGAAGAAAATGTAAAACGTACAATATATAATGAGGCAAAGTGCCCAAGGAAAAATTCCGAAGGCGAAGGTAAACAAGTTAGCGATGTAGAAGGTTCGGGTCACTATGACAATTGTCAGGTAGACACTAGAGCTTCTACTAAAACTACAAAACCAGAAATCGATGCAAAAAAGGTAAATGACACTAATAAATTAGAAAATCAATCAAAAGAACTTGAGGGTGAACACAAAAAGTTTGTAGAAGAAAGCAAAAGCGAAGCAAAAAATGCGAGGAAAAAATCGCCACCCAGTACGGAGGAGCTTGAAAAGCGCTTTAATGCTTTAGAAAAACAAATGAGTAGTACTAGCTTGGTGAGTAGCAAAGAAAAGAAAAGCTCAACAGAAAATACAAAAACCCAGGAAAATAAGAATAAAGAGAGTTCACACAAATCTGCAGAGACTGTACAAGAAAAGAAAAGCTCAAAGCCAACTGAAAATTTTCAGACAAAGTCAGAGGTAAAAGAAAATCCACCAAAAACAGAAAAGTTTGTTGTGGAAAAGTCTAACAAAGAATCGAAAGTGTCAACAGAATCTGAAAAAGCAAAGTCCAAAAATATCGAGGAGAAGAAAACTGCAACACAGTCCGAACAACCGAAGACACAAATTCAATTAGGGCAAAGCAAAGGTATACCAAATTCCGAACCAACACGTGATATTAACGCAATCAAAACCTTTGAGGAAAAGTGTAAGCAAGTCAACAGAGAGTTAACTGAGCAGGATAGGGCTAACGTCGAAGAAACACAAAAAAAAGTAAAGACACCAGATCCTACGCTAATTGAGGCCTTTAATGAAAAAGTTAAAGAGGTCAACGAAGAATTAACGAAATCCGCTGAACCGATAGAAGTCCAACCAGAAGCTGAAAAAAGTAGCAAGGCTCTTAATGTGATAAGCAAACGTCGCGCTTCTGAACCGCCATCTACAGAAGACTTAGAGAAACGTTATGAATCCTTAAAAAGGCGAATGAGCACCAAATCAATAGCTGAAAAAGAACACGACGTAAAAGGAAAATCTGAAACAGTTGTAGAGGAAGAGCCACAAGAATCACCAGAAGTAAGGGTTATCACTAAGGAGGCGAAAAGAAAATCTGCAGAACCGCCAAGCACTGAAGACTTGGAGAGTCGATACGAGGCATTACAACGGCGAACAAGTGAACAGAACGCACAAAAAGTCGATAAGGAACACGAAACGGCAACAGGGAAGCGAGGAGAGAAAGCAACATATGAAAAGACAACAAAAACCACGGATAAAGAGAAACTGACAAATGCACAAGATGATGAACAAAATACCGCAATAGAAGATACCAAGGTTTCTCCTCACATACCCGTTGCTCCACCTATGCCATTAAGAGATTCAACAGAAACATTATTCAATGATGAACAACACCGCGCGCTCATAGAGGAGTTCCAGAGTAAAATTAAGGTACAGCCCAATGGTGAAAATCTAAAACCGAGCGAAATTAATCCAAATCGCCGAATAATACCAGACCGACAACGAGCATCACCGTTCGATGGAACCTCGGAAGCACATGCAAACACCGCTTTCTTTAGATCGGAGAATTACGAACCCTGGTACCATCAATCATACAATATGGTTCGTCGTTTCTCCGATTTACCATCAAGAGCTGATCTTGAGAATCGCTTACAATTTTTGGAAAGACAATTGATTATGAAATTCTACAAGCAGCGCTGTGCAAGTGATTCCGAAGTGGCATCGAGGAAACAATTCGCCGATTTGAAGAGTCAGTCGGCAGACAACGAAGTACCCACCACATCCACGCGCTCTCAACAGCAAACAGGCGATGATTTGGAGAGGCGTGTGTTAGCGCTGGAAAAGCAGTATAGTGAAAATAGTCTCAAATTGCTAGAAGCTGTACGAATAAAGGAACAGCAAGCAGCTGTTGAGACAGACTCACCACGGCGGCTCAGCACGGAGACTGTTGATGCGACCGGTAAAGAGCTCGTGCGTTATGTCGGTGAACTCGAAGACTCTGGTGCTCTCAAACCGATCAATATAAGTATTAATATTAAAATGATGCTCAAGCGAAATGAGGACACTGACTCGAGTACTAAGCCCAAAGATAACCTACCGACAGCAGCCGAATTAGAGAAGCGACTCGAAGTGCTAGAACAGCAACTTAAGTTGTCCAGGTCACGACGTGAGGGTAGCATCGACCAATCCAATGCTGACGCAACGCAGGAATTGAAGAAATCCGTAGAGATATCAGATAAAGCCGTACCTAAAGAAAAGGCCAATGTTGAAGTTTTAAAAGAGACGCCTGAAATTAAAAAGGTTGTAAAAGAAGTGTTAAATGAGGAATGTAAAAGTGACAATAAAGTAGCAGAGAATATAAGTAGCAAGAAAGACGTCAAGGAAAAGAGCCAAGTAGCAGCTAACGACACAGAGAGTGTAAGTAATAAGAAAGATGACAAAGAGAAGAGTCAGATAAAAACTTGCGCTTCAGAAAATGAATGTAAGAAGAAAGAAGATAGAGAAAAGGCTCAGATAAACACTGATACTTCAAAAGCTGAGAAGACATTAGAGAATCAACAAATTGCGCGTTCAAATAAAGAATGTATTGATAATAAGGGAAAAACAAATGATAGAGATACAAGCAATATGAACTCAATACTTCAGCAAGTTGACGCACACCCGGACAATAAGATGCAGAGATTGCCAAAAGAGAAAAAATCAACCGAGGAACGCGTTCGAGAGAAAGACGTAAAGGACGCAAAGGAGGTACAGCACGAGAGCAGTAAGGAAACAGAAAAAGTTAAAGAGCACTCAGCGATGGAAAAAGATTCCAACAAAGAAAAACAAGATGATAGTCAAATTCCAAAGGAAGGAATTGAAAATTGTGAAACTATGGAGTGTATGGGCACTCCCACACAAACTGCCATACAAGTTGGAACATCCGATCCCAACAATAAAACGATGGTATTGCTACTCGATAATGAACCAAAAGCTGTTAAAGTTCGACGATTGACACGCGCTAACACAGAGGAGTTAGAAAACCTGTTTCAGGCGCTCGAAAAACAGTTAAGTGATCGCAATCTTATTAAATCCGGGGATGGTAAACTGATGCGAGCTGGCGAAAAGCCGGATGTGGCAACGTCAGAAGAATCTAAAGCGATAACTCAACTCTCCAAGGAAATAGAAGATTTTACCAAATCAGATAAATCAGCAAAAGAAGATGAAACGACGCCCAAAAAAGTGGCTGACGTATCCAAAACTCCGACTGAGGACTATGATTGGGGAACGGACCCCGTAAAACGACATTTGAAACGTAAAACAGCACATCTTCCATCAACCAAAGAGTTAGAAGCGCGTTTCCGATCACTGGAGCGACAAATCAAATTGCTTGAAGATGTGGAAAAAATCGACGTCGAGCAACGTTTAAATGAAATTGAGCGCAAAATCAAAATGCAGTACTCACTGTCGCACGAAAAAGATTTAACGAAGTTCTTAGAGCTCTGTGAAGGTAAGAACCTGGACGAACTGCCTGAAGCTATATCAGCTGCACGTGATAGATATCAGTCAGACGAAGGCAATGCTGCTAGAACACCGACACCTAAGAAAGGTCGTTCACCATATACTTCTCCTTCGCGAAATAAAGAAAAGACACCTTACACATCACCTGCGCACACACCGCGTGAATCCCGAAGTCCCAAAAGACATACCTCGCCCGGGCGTGTTAGATATGAAGACATGAATGTATCAGGTAGCAAAAGTCCCAAACGTCGTGCGTCGCCTGGACATGTTCGGTATGAAGATTCAAATATACCATCGACAGAAGATCTTGAATATCGTTTTAGAGCTTTGGAATTGCCCAGATCCAAATCGCGAGAATCGTTGAATAGCAAATCACAAAGAAATGTCGGAGATTCCAAAAAATCACTTATACATCCATTGGAAATGTTGCTCGATCCCAGTCCTGACGAGGATGCCATACCAACAACCGGCGAACTGGAGCACCGAATACGTGTATTGGATGATAAAAGAAAAACATCTTCACCTTCTCGACGACCCCGTTCACGCTCGCCAACCATTGAAGATATCAAAAATAGAAAATTAGCTGAAGAACAGCAATCGCGCACACCAATACATAATTTGGAAAAGCTTGTCGCTTCACCAACTAAAAGAGAATTGCCTACCGCTGAAGAGTTAGAAGCTCGTATGCGTGCACTAGAAGAAGAGCATTGCTTCGACTTTAAAATGCAGAAATCATACCAGGAATTCAATCGAAAATTAAAGGATGCCGTTTCCCCATCACTTTCCTTTGAAGAATACAAGACATCAAAATCACGCGAAGAAAGTCCAAGACGTGGCGAAGCTAATCGCTCAACGACACCAAAATCTGCGCTACGAGACACCGCCAGCAGTTATGAGGATGGACCATATCGATCAACCAGTCCCAAGGCCATACGATTCCGTGACGAAGAAGCTGATTATGTGCCCTGTATGCCGTATAGGCCCAAATCGCGTACTGATATACGTGATGTCACTGGACGAATGGTGGGCACCATTAATTCTGGAGCTTTAGAACAAATTGAAGAAAATTCTAAATACCTTCAACGTATTCTTAAGCAGACTCTTACAGATTCATGCAGCAGCATAAACGCTATCGGGCACACGACGGAAGGACTTGATGAGTTCGGTAGTCGACTTATGAGGGTGAGTTATACAGAACACTTATAGTTAGTTTACTAACCAATTATGATATTGTGACGTTGTAGGAGACTTCACCACTACAACGTACCGGCAGTCACACCGGGGTACCGCTGCGTACAAATGACAATATCAACGAGCGTCTGGATTCCATAAAAAATACGATCAAGTCCATCGACACGTTGTGTGAAGAGAAACCATATCGTAAAGAACGTTGTCAGCGATACATTGATTCACTATTTTCCGACTCGATACACTTCGCCAGCAAGAAGACCTCGCTAGAAGATCTCTCACGTTCCGAGAGCCGTGCGCACGAATATGGGCCCTCCATACGTGTCTCAGATCACAGCCAAAGGCATTCGGACTATTTATATGGACGTACGACGGGTTCGGCGGACTCGATACGTTCGACGAGTCCATTGCGCGCTGCCAGTCCATTGCATCATCGCTCAAATCGGGATATACGACGTGAAATTTCACCACGCCGACGACGCGAGGAAGAGCGCGCAGAATACGAGAGTAGGGTAAGACGTGAAAATATGTTGCCAAATTATTATTTATTTGATAATCATAGAGATGTAAGTAGTAGTAGTTTAATTAAGTTTCATAAAGTAGATAGACAACTAGACACATACAAATATGATGATAGAGACAGATCAAGTTCACGATCGCCGTTGAGATCGCCGTATGGATCGAGGGAGACGTTGATGACGACAGAAAAGATGTTGCACGACAACACCAAAGCCAGCACACTACAACACAACACTAACACCAACCACAGCTGTCACAACAACGACCGCTACAAAACAAAAACACTAAACGTTAAAAATTTCGAATTGGATTTGGACAGACAGCAAGCGTATACAATGCATCATCACACTACAGACAAGCTACTGGGTCTCGATCCACTTAAACGCTCCACTACGCCCGTCTATGCGCCCGGACGACTCGATATACGTCACACCACCGTAACATCGACCTTCTACGATCGCTTATTGGCGGAGAAAGAGATTGAGCGAAAATTTTCTCGGCCATCTAGTCGTTCGCCCATCGTTTCACCGTCGGTTACGTCGAAAAGTTATGTCGACTTGGCCAGTACCAGCGCCAAAGCTCTATATCAAGACAAATCTCCCACAGCTGCCGTAACAATGCGTCTAGATAGGTCCACTGGCTTATCCAGCTACTGCAATACAGAAAAAACACAACACTATCGTAATTCGATGACCGGCAGTTATCCGAGTAGCGCTTTTAACGTCACCAACCAAACAAACCTTTCGAACAGCAACACGACTACCCCGAAATTTTGTACCAACACCGACACCCATACCAACATCACCATCACCAACAATTGTACTACTGTTACACTAAATTCGGCCACAACAAGCACAGGTAATTCAAACACTTATTCGTACGAAGGCACTAGGCTCACGCGGTTCCCTCGGGTAACCGAACCTACTAATATGGACTTACGTATACAAAGTTGTGATAATATACTGATGCAATTGAAATCTGCTTCTATAACTGCAGCTGGGGTAGGGTGTATGAGTGACAGCGCGTCAACGACTACAACAACAGCAATAACTGCAAATACGACATGTACGCCGACGACAACGACTGAGATCACGACCAATTATCGAATTGGTGGTCTGAGCGGTAATACAACTAACTACACCACTAACTTCACCTCAACACCAGTTACAGCAACAGCAACAACCACAACAATTACCAATTTTTCCTTCTCCTCTATGAACATCACAAATACGCCTATAACTACAACAACAACAGCAACAGTATCAAACTTGAACTTCAAGCATAGTATCACAGCTCTGGACAGATCAGCAACAACAACAATACCAACAACTACATTATTTAGTACTGAAACAACGACAATGACGACAACAACAACAGCAAATGCTTACAATTTGTATAATCTGACGACGATGACGACGATGACGACGACGACGACAGCTATGACCACAACAAGAACAACAACAAACACCACAGCTGTTGGCAGTGAAAACACCAACAAATTCATCACAAATAATTCGTCTCCATCATTTCTGTCCTATAACGCGACTAGTGGCGGCAACCTATACACGAGTAATACACCTCTGGGTATGGCTCTACCAACAATGCAACCAACTTCCGTTACAACAACATTCGCCTCATTGGGCCTTTACACTAGTAATTTAAATAGCTACAACAATAATAACAACAACGTTGGCAGCAACAACAGCAACACAAAAATTTGAATGAAATGAAGAAAAAAATCTGTGAAGACCCTTGGAGTTAACCGTGCTGCCTAAATTTATAAAAAAGCAAAATGAGAAAAAACCGAAAACATAAACAAGTGCGTGTAGTGTGTAGTGTAGGGAAGCAAGAAAGTGCTGAATGCTGTGTGTCTGTGGTTGAATTGAGCGAAGATATCTCGTTAACAAGTTTTTAGCGGTGGAGCAAAGTAAGATAGAAATTATATTTACATACATACATACAAACATAAAAGTAGTTATACATACGTATACTGTAGTGCGAAGGGACTTGTAATCAAATCTAGGTTCGGAAAATCAATAGAGAGCGTTTATTTATTATATTTGTAGCGGTAAGTTAGGGCCAATAATATCTCAATAATTAGCGCAATCGGAATTGGATAACTCAAGCGGAAAACTCCACGAAGAAGAAACTAACACCTCTTAGCGATCCTAGTTTCCCTACCCAGTTTCCTGGGATAAAGGACTCAAGACAAGACTCAGAAACTAAAGAATAAATAAGTACATTTAGGAACCGTTCAGTACTTTCGAAGAAGCATTTTCCAAAAGTGGGCTAAAATCATCATATGATACGATATTGCGAGCACCCAAACTTAATTAGTTTCAGGCAAAGTGTTAGTTTGCAAATATGTGACCAACAAGACTCACAGGGTTACAACGATCTTTCAAATGTTCGATGAATCTCAGGCTCGGTGATTTTTTCCCAAATGTATTCTGTTGAAATCTACCGGGAAAATATACCTTGTTGTCTGATCCGGAGAACAAGTTAGAAAAGGAAAGACTTCAAACTCAAATCATGCATTTCGTCTTTGTTGTCATTGATGAAACAGTGCTATGTTCCCTTTCGAATAAGATCATTGTCTGTCTTTTGAAGATATTCGATAAAAAATTATCGATTGAGCATTCGAAAATATGGGGCTAACATCTGCTACTTGGAATTTGGCTCAGATTTTCAAATGATTTTTAATTAAAGTGAAGTGAAATTAAGGGGTTACCATTTATTTCATTCGTTGTCTTATATAACCCCAAAATTTTTGGTTTAACCGCTCCACACAGCAACACGAAACTTCAACTGTGTGGTCTTCTCGAATATTCTGTTCGTTTTCAAACTCATTCGCTCCTTTTTTGTTTGAGTTATCCGCTTTCGGTTGTAAATAGAATGTTTGCACTCATACAAATTCAGTAGCTTAACCCGCGTACATGAATAATCGCCTTGCACGAGTTTTAGGGGAGTAACCGCTTTTTAAATATATGTATGTAGGTAAGGCAACTATGATTGATACGACATATAAACGAGAAAAGTTTGCTTGTAAAACAAAGAGTAGTGGCAAAAAAAAAAGGTTTTAAAAATGAGCGACATTAATAAGTCTCTTGTTATCAGAGGTTTCAATATTTAAAACAAATGTGTCAATTTGATGTACCCTTCATAGAATTTTAACTAATTTGAACTAATTTTATACATCCTTACTTTCATATTCGATTTGTTCCCAAATTTTCAAAAGTTATTTTTGAATTTCTTTTAGTGAAATATCATTTTTATGATATAATGCTGGGAAAGGAAATTTTTCACAAGATTTTAAATTAAAAAAATTATGGTGATCTTACAAAAGTTTTAGTAATTTGCCTTTAAATTTAAGAAATAATAATAATAATTAACTTTATTTTGTTCGGTTTTTACTTATTTAATATTACCATTTGTAGATTGAAGCTTCAAGTTTTGCGTTTCCTAACGCTTCGAATATCAACGCATGCTACAATTTTAAGTTAGGTTAGATTAGTCCGGCAGGCTAATGAGCCAAGCAGCGACCAGTTCAGGAACTCAGCGTTGGCAGATGGTGATCATAGTCCATGAGAAGTAATTATTTGGGGTACTCACAACGTGTCATAAAGCATCGTAAAATCATAAAGTCATTAATTTGTAAACTTGTTTAGAAAATTTGTTGTTGGATTGCATACTAAAATAAGTTTACGCAAATACAACTCTGAGCGCTATGTTTTCGGATCGTTACAAATTATAACTTTATGAGACTATGTGAAACCCAAGTTCCGCGCTCTCAATATTGATACGTCTGCGATAGTCTCATATCAAGTCATCAAATTCCGGAATCGTTGCCTTGCCTATGTGAAATAAGTTCACAAGATAGGCTCCATTATTTCGATACCATTTTACCCATGAATTTTGCGCTTTTCCACACCGGTGATCATTCCATCACGTTTTGACCTTCCTTGCCATAATCGCCGTAATAATAATATCTGGGTTTCCTAATGGTAGTCCCGTTTTCGTATAACAGCCGCATACCACTCTTGACAATTTTGTTTATTAATCTTTACATTTTTTTTTATAGTAGGAGGAAGCATCCACAGCCAGAGTACGGGAATTTAATCCGCTAAACCAAACCGACTCCCATTTCATGTCTCTCCAACGGCACCACTGACTACGTATTATTTTATGCGAGAAAATAATACATTTAAGTCGCCGCTGTTGTACGGACTGACTGACGCCTAAACTGTTGCAAAGGTCCCAATCGGACATAAGTCAAATTTTCCATCGTGAGAGTACCTCCAATTGTGGTTTTCAGCTTTTATCGTATACTTGATAACCGATGGAAATGATGGAGTACATGTTCACAGTCTTCTATACACTCTGTACCCGTCGGACAATATGAATTAAATTCATGACGATATTTGTGTAGGCAGCTTTTAAAGCACCCATGGCCACTGAGTATTTGAGTCATATGGAAATTCAGGTTCCCTAATTGTCTATCTCTCCAAGAATATATGTACATATGTCCGGAATCAGTCTGTGGGTTCACCGCCTTATGCATAATATTTGCCATCATTGCTTGCACATTGTCATGCTTTTGATTCTCTCCTCTCTTTTTGCTGCTGTAAATGACCCTAATCAATTATATATTTGCGCGAATTCGTCTGCCTGAATGTCAATCGGCGCTATGTATCACACTTAACACGCGTATTGCAGAAATCCTATTCACTGCGTTGATTGGTCTAGCATGTGATTCTATGTCTGGCGCCGCATACAGTTTAACTGATCTCATTAACTTAGCTATTAAAAAACGTTGGCTAGAACGCACATAGCCTTTATTTACCACCATTCTAGATAAAGCATTATAGATTTGATTTGCTTTATCATACACGTGGTATTTTCCCAGTGCTCCTTGAATTTGAGCCTTGAGTCCACCATTACACCGAGGTACTCACATTCTCACCTACTATGATGAGGGATCTCTTTTCTTAAATTGGAAATCTGGAGCTTATGAGCAAGACCTCTGTTTTCTGCAAGCTCAGCTCTGGACCCATGGTAGCAAAGCTTCTGCGCAAACCACATTTTTAGCCACTGCTACCACTACGAGGTAATCCGAATAAGCGATTATTTTCTCCCTTTTTTTATTTGATGTATTCCTAGCAACCCGTCCTCCACCAAGTTTCCTAGTAGTGGGCCTAAATCGAAGCCTTCCGGTACTCCACTGGATATAGTGTAGCTCAATATAATATTTATCAGTTAATAAAGTGAGCTTATTTCGCATAGCGCTTTTATTATATATTATTTGCTCACTTTGCAGAGTTGAATGCACTCTTCACATCCAGGGCAATTATCGCACAATCTTATTTTTTACCACCTTTCCATCTTTTCCTACTTTTTGCACATTTCGCAGTAACTACTACTTCTCTTGATAATACGCCGGCTTTTTGAATTGCTAATTCCAAGCGTTTTCTTCTGCTTTCGTACACGTTACCAATCCTATCCAGCACGCACAGACGTCGATATGATAACGCTTCTTCGGCTGGCTTTTTTGGTATAGGGAGTATAACCAAGCGAAATTTTCATTTTTTTTTTTTTTTTTCAATAGCCAAAAGTTCTTCTTCTGTGACTAATAGGGGTATCTCTGTAGCTTCATTTCGCTGTGATTACATTACTCATAAATGATGCGTTCTTAGGTTGAATTTTGATATACATATATTGTCTGCCATTCCCCAAGGATTTCTTTTTTCTTAGAGTTTTTCGAAACAACATCTTTTACTACGGATTATGGCTGATTTTAGGAGCTTTTTTGGCATTTAAATGCCTGCCCTTGACAGCGATGCCGATGTAACGTGCACCTAGTAGAAGCAAAGTCGCTTGTTCTCGGCAACACTCACCATTGTTTCGAAAATTTAGTTTACGATTACTTTAGTCCGTAGTTTCATGTTTGCAAGAATAAGAAAACGCCAAAAATTGCACACTTTCAATTGGGGATGACGCTTGCTGCCATTTGTTGGGGTTAAGAAACGCAGAGCTTACATTTCAAGTTTTTATTAAAATATTTTCTTTGAAGAAATATAATTTTGTTCATGAAATCGATTTCAAGTATATAGTAATTTTACTAATTTATTTATATAAGCAAAGTTGATTACATAACAGTAAGAATAATGCGCACCAAAAAGGTGCCATAAAGCTTCGTCAATGTTATGCGATTCCTACTTCGGTCTAGATTCTAACAAACCTGCATATTAAATTATTGAAAAGAAAAGAAATAGAATTTCACTCTGAATAAAAAAATACACACTTATGTCTGAAGCCCTAAAATTATACTGACAATTATAAAGCAATAATGATAGAAATATATAAAAATCGAAAAGTTACAGTTAGCATTCGAGAAACAGCAATAAGTAAGTCTAATTATATAGACAGTTAAGTACTAGATAATCGCGCACCAACATTACTCTACTTCTTCACCCTCCAAAACTTCTTTAACTGCACGCATTTTAGCACTCATATACATAGCAAATATATAACTGTATTTACATACATATAATACTAAGCTTATATAATTGATTTAAAGTCAAGAAGATTTTTCGAAATTTTGCATCTGAAAACTGGTTGGGCCTAGAAACATAGCACCACTTGCAACATACCTCATATATTCATACATACATACATACATACATATGTATATGCTTAGTGAGCAACTTACTTGCTAATAGAAATAGAAAATACTACACAAAAACTCTACTAGCACTAAAAAAATAAATTTTAAGCAATCGAACTAATACTACACACTTAAAAGAATTAATATTCAAATAAATTTCTTAGAACTCTTACTTCACTTTCCCGCTCTGTATTTAATGTAATGTGTTTGAAGTTTCCTCTTATACACAAATACCAACACACTTACCTAGTTCAGTGGGTTTTTTTTTTGAAGGTCACGCAAACCGAAGGACTATTTAAAATTAAAAAAAAAAAATTAAAAACTGTGTTTTGCGTATTTAAAAAAAAAAAAAAATCAACTGCAAACAATTACAGCATTAAATTTCGAAATATTGTTCAGAGACCCAATTAAATGTTAATGACTGAATTTCCATATATATGTAGTAA